ACTTATTTTTTCCATAGCTCCTCCAAAAAAGGCGTTTTTCGATAAATTGTTATTTAGTTTTTAGTTTGTATTTTTTTAAAGCTGTTTGATGAAATAATATATCGACTATTGAAATTATCATCGATTGAAATAGCTTTAAAAATCAATTTCAAATATTAAAAATATATTAATATTATATACGGATAAATTCGAAAAACGTCTTTTTGTGGAACTTTATAAAAAAAAAACGTTGTCCCCATCACGGCCTGTACTAAATCACAGCCATGTGTTTTGACGAAATGGCCACCAGGTGGGCTTCCGGCACCTATTCATTAGAGTTTGGCCAAAGCGGGCCCTAAATATACTCTAAAAAGAAATTACTTCCAAATCTTTATACTTAATTACGTAGTAATTATACATTTTATTATTACAAAGTAATTATAATTATATATAGAACTTGTAGAATACTGTCTTTTGATGTACGATTTTCATTACACTCAGAATATAATAATATATATCTATTTATACATTTTATTTAGGAAATTAAGTGAAGTATAAAAATAGAACAGAACGCATAAAAAGAATTTTTTAAGAAAATTTTAATAAAAATGGAATTGAGAAAATCCGTGTATTTAGTAGGCTACTTGAGTTTTCAGATTGTTGGCAACAAATTGCCTTCAAGTTTACAAATATTGAAAACTCTTTTGTACAATACTCAATTGCTAAACCTATCACTGCATCAAAGTGCAACAATTGTTATTGACGAAGTTTGCATTTTTTGGCAAAAATCAGGAATTATGACAAGAAGAAAACAAAAATGCATTGAAAAAGTAGAGAAACTTTATGATAGTTATGATAAATTACGAAAAAATTCTAACCGTAAATCAATTGGCCAGCAAAACAAAGAACAAGAATTCGTTTCGAATTTCGATAACTTATTCGACATCGCACATACAGATATAATAAATATGATATCTAAAGAAAAAATGGAGTTCTTAAGTTGTCAACGAGAACCAGGTCGAAGAGGTCACATAGGTGGCCTTGAATGTATTGAGTCTGTCGATGCTACAACTCAAATAGGTAAAACATAAAATAAATTTTAATTATTTTTTCAATATTAAAAAAACTGTTTACATTTTTCAGATGAATCAATGAGTTATTAGGATTCCCAAAGCACAGGCACTTTCAGCCAACAAAGTGTTGAAACTGATTCAAGTCACGAATTAGCAATGGTTGGAGGA